GGTCTTACAGTGCAGATTTAACTAGATTAAGTATACCTGGACAGGCCCCACTTGCCACAGAGTGGGTTCCTTAAAGATATAAAAAAGGGACATGCTCCTGAAAAAAGGAGAGGTGTATATACAACAAGGTAACTTACCAAGTCACAGTTCACTGAAAAGCAAAGGATGGTGACAGGTAGAAGACAGTACCCTGACAAGGAAGAAACAGCTACCTGAAGCAGATAATTGGAGATAAACATAAGAGGTGTAGTCCCGGTGCTCGAGGAAAGAAGTACCTCCAACATACAATGTGGAGAATGAGATACAGATAAAAGGTAAGGTGCCTGATCAGAGTGAATACATCAGAAATTACAGGAAGAAGGAGACAAGGGAAAAAAAACCAAAACCAATAGAATCAAAAGCCAAATCCAATTGGTACGGGAAGAAGGAAAATGTCATGGACAGAAGAGTGGAATGAAACTGTGGGAAAGGGAACCAATAGAAAGAAGCCTTGAAGGCAATTTAGTAACCAAGAGTACGTACGTGACATAGAAGGCCATCCAGATCTGACTGGGAATAAAGGTGGGTTATGGAAGGAAACAAAAATGATGAAAAGGAAGATCATGCCACATGAGTCACCAAAGCGTAGGTTAGGAAAAAATCAATACAGAACAAAAAGAATGGATCGAGCTGAAGCAGCCAAGATTTTTGAAGGCCAGGAAAGAAGCAATCAGAAAAACCTGACACAGTGTGGCATGGATGAACAAAATCATCTGGGGAAGGTGACGGATGGGATAATAAAATAAAGGTATAAACTTGTCCCAATCCTGCCTAAATGCATAGGCAGCCAAGGCAAGTGGATGAGGAACCAGAGACCAAAAAAGAAAAAGAGGAGTAACTTAGAATCAAGGAAAGAGGCAAATGCATCCCACTGAGTATTAATCCCCTGGAGTTAGAGCCACTGAAAAATTTTGAGAATCGAGAGACCACTCCAAGGGATAAAGTGTGTCTACACTGGAAAGGAGTTCTGCAATAAAGTTGAAAGCACCTGGAACAAGACATGCTAGGAGACATATGTCAAGTGGTGGACCCAAAAAGGGAGATCCATGGTTGACCACAAAAGGAACTATAAAGGGTGCCCCTTTGGTGAGTGATATAAGCCAACATCATTGAATTGTCAGAATGGATCATGATTAGTTGAATCATGAGACGAGGAAGAAAGTGAACATGACGCCTGTGTAAATGTGCTGATAGAAGATATAACCTTCGAATTGGTAACTTAGAATTCATAATTCAAAATGAATAACCAAACATAACCGTGTTGGCAGAAAGAAACAAAAAGTAGGAAAATTTTGGAATGAAGTATTAAGTTTCATAACTGGGTAGAAATATAAAATAATTCCCTTTCAGAATAAGTTACAAATATCACGACTGTATAATAAATAGTAAACTTGTTAAGAGAAATTGATATGAAAATACCAAAAAAAAACAACAAAAAACTGCCGAACGAATAGTGATAGTTAGGTAGAACAACACAGAGGGAGTAACATGGATGTGTGGCACTACTATTGGTGGAGGTTTGTTGCATGATAATTTGCATACAAAAATCAGTTAAGCCATGTGAGTTGAGGGGTGCAGAGAAGTGAAAGGCTTGTGGCATGCAAA